ATGTTGTGGGGTTGATTTGGAAGCCAGGCTCACCTAATTCTGGTTGTTTCGACCATACTGTTGGCCCTTTATTTTTCAAATTTTTGACGATACCCCATTTTAGAGTTGCGTCTTGTTTCAAAAGTTCCTTGGCATGTTTAAAAGTTTTTGTTAATCGTTATGGAGTAAGGAACCATAACTTCTTAACTGCTTTCTGCTATTGGGGTTTTCACTGAGTATCTCGGCTCATTTTGAGGCACCCAATAGACTCCTTTTTTGTCCCAATGTCTTTATCTTTTGTATGAAGTCATTTTTGCACAGGAATGTTTTCCTGCCACTTTAATAGCGTTTGGTCATGAATAGGTCGGACGGAGCAATGGGTAACTAAATGTTTACTATTCTGATATAATGCATTATTAAGTGCCTTGTTCGGTTTTCTTTCTGTTCCTCTTTCGTCTGAATCAGCTTTAATTAGTGCTTCTAGGTAAGCAGCAGTAAGCATGGGAGCATATTGAATGAGTATTCGTGTTTTTACATGTTCTCGCTAATCATCTTAAATTTCGCATTCGAAATGAGGGAATTGACGAAATTCGTACGCGTATTAAGGAGAGAACGCAGCTCAGAATAGCCGCGGCCTGTTTGCTCGCTGTGTCTAGGGTAGAGTTTCAAAGCGATATGTTTTTCCATTTTTAGCTTCTGGGAACGTATTGCTTCCTTTTTGCATAGGCTATTTCTTACTATCTCATGATCTGATTTTGTGAGCATTACGAAATTTTTGGAATTGTATTGAACTGGAGTGATGAGTAGAGTCAACCGCCGATTGGACGGGCCGTATTTGTGATTTGTAAACTGGCTACTTCCCTTTTTTCCATTTTTTTTCCATTTTTTCCATCCTAATAACTGGTGCACTGACTGTTTGTTAATGTTCATCACAGGATGGTTGCGATTTGATGTCACTGGACTTATTAGTGAAGTGGCGTTAAGTTGCAGTCCTAACCATACCTTCCAGCGGCAGAGGGGTCTAGTCCACCTGAGACGCTCAATGACGTCATAAAAACCGCAACACCCTCGTGGTCACTGCTTTCAACACAAAAGAACTAGGAAACAATTTTCGTCTACTCAAAATCGCTTGGGCAAAATTTTTCTTCAGCGATGTTAGACTCCTGTGACTTTAATTGAGAGTTTCTCGTAAACCTAGTTTAGTTTACTGTGCCGTTTTCATAAACCTAGTTTACCCGTGACTTTCTGATCCAAGCAGCCTGTCAAACACGGTACAAGTTTTGTTCATAAGAAAGTGATGCCTGATATTATGTTTAGCTCGTCGAACGGATGTTCCAATGGGGTTACCCCTTCTTCTTGACTCTTTGACTGATAAAAAGCTGATGCACTTGTTCTTGAGGGTAGCCGTGGAAATTCCTAAAATTCGTTGTTAAGTGAGATTCAATCCTTCTGAAGGCTAGTCTCAAGATTTAGGTTACATTGCGCACCGTGCTAGTGGGTATTTGCTCTAGCAGACCCAACTGCTCTGACGAAAGTCCTCGCAGAACTATTTGAGCTTTTTCTAACGCTTGAATGTTTGACTATTGCTAACATTTTACTTTATGTGGGTCTAACACCACTGTGCCACATACTAACAACGGCCTAATGGGTGCTTTGAAAGCCGTGAGAAGCACCAGGGATTCCTTAGTTGGGAGCGCTCTGAATAAGTTGAATATCAGTGACATGGCTTTAGCAGCGACCTTCGAGCAATGATCATCAAAACTAAGATCACTTCGAATATGAAAACCAGGGTGTTATTTCATTGACAGTTTCTAATCAGACCCCATCGGATAGGATGAGGCAACAACAGCTTCTCCTAAATGCAGAATCTTACATCATTTTCATAAATATAGGCAACTTCCATTGTGCGGCACAGTTGCTAACATCATTAACGGCATCCTGTAATAATTCAATGTCCAGTTCATAAACACTGGATGATACAATTTGAAATCATCCGCAACAGAAAGCAACTTATTCCACTTCCCTGCAATGACTAAAGATGGTAGTTTGAAGGGGAATGTTTTGAGAAGGATGGGTGACAACACACCAGCTTCAATGTTGACAGAATCGTGGGGCAACGTGCTACCTTGTTCCGCCAGAGTAGAAGCCTTACTAATGACATGGATCGTTTTATCGCAGACTTTTGTTGGGATGAGCCTTCGTTTCGATACGAATCGGTTCCCTCACCCCTCAGGAAAAGGGAAGGCCTCATAAAGACCTACTTACGGAGCGGAAAGTATTTAGTTGAGGCTCCGCAACAATCGCCTCAACACTAGATTGGTAAAAAAAGAACTCGTAAAAAGAATTTCCAAAAGTCTATCATGCTTGGGCTGAAACGCTCCATACGGTATACTGATATTGGAGCACAATCTATAGAAAGATAATCTAGCAATTGCTGAACATAGTCACGAATATGAGTCACCCTATCATAACTCCTACGGCTCGATTTTTAGGCCCACCTATAACTACTATCGATCTTTTACGCTCTACTTGCTCACAAGATGAAAGTCGATCAACGTTATCATTAAACTTAGTCATTGTCGGACATCAATCGGAATATTGTGATCGTGTGAAGATGCTTTAAAATTTCAAGTGATTTTCGAAGAACTGGTTTTCATCTTTCAAAGCCTTAAATTCCTTAGACATAACATCGTTGCGAGTGGACACCACAGTTTCCTCCCGGAAGTAAATACTTTCAACTCTTTCTTACCATACAACAGGAAAGCCAAGATTGTGCGAATGTGCAGTGGTATTGCTTCATCCTTGATAAGTTTATCGGCAGACAGCAGATATCCGACTGTGGGGAAGTTTCAAGCTCGAGTCGCGTCTCCTTCATCAGCCCTTCCTGAATTTTGCGGGAAAGAACGGGTGCTTCGTTAATCATATTGCGTGTTGAGAGCCGTACCTATAATTTCTATCGAACAATGAAGTGAGGTACGCTTCGAAATGATATACCACTTCCACTGGAAGTGTCGCAGGCCAGAAAAAAAGCCAATCGATACCGAACAAGGAGACTTCGGATATCGATAACTATACTAAAATGACGAAACGAATAACCTCGAGAAGTGGTACGATTTCGTCTAATTCATACTGTACCACAGGAGTACTCACTTATTGTTCGCCTATAAGCGTCAGAAGCAATGATGCTTAGAGAATGGGGATAATGAAGTCGACGGCAGAATATAGGACCTACTAATACAGAGCCTTTGGATAAACTGGTGCTCGCTCCAGCACACAGGCGAGAATGACAATCAGCTCAGTAGGGTTATTTTGGGCATGACGTGCTATGATATTTGATGACGTCTCCTGCTGGAGTTTACAAACAAGTTTCAGCGTGACGAAGCATGGCTTTTTAGTGGACGAATGACGTAAATCAGCATTTTTAGAAGTCCACACAGATTTTCTAAATGGACAAAATTCATCTCAATCCCTGCTGAGTGCGTAATGGGCATAGTAACGTTTTTTGGACATCAATTCATAGATATTTTATTAAGGGTTTCTGGGAAATTTTCACAATGTGATTCTTTCATTTGAAACGTTTCCCTTCAGATGCCTGTTACTAATTTAGAACATCGTCATGATAACTCATCGCTAAGCTCTTCTATGGCGTCATAGCTTAATTCTTGGGTTTTTTTTTGATTGGACAGCGGATGCTATTTCTACTGAGAGGTTCCGTATAAACAGCTGTCGCGTTCATTACGTTTTGTTTAAACTTTATTTCTGTTGTAACAACCCCTCGTTATCTAGTCGGTTTTCTGTTTATAAGCTTGCCAGAAATATTATTGGACTACTTAGAGGAATTTTCTCGCTTAACCAAGTGTTGAAACTGAATTGCTGCAAACTTGGTTTGTCTTAGAAAGTCTGAGCAATGATGTGTTTCAGTGGCAGAAAAGAAATTTATTGAGCATTTCGATTTAATCAGATGGTACCGGGTGAAAATCAGCGCTTTTATTTTATTGAAGAGAACGTTGTAAGTCTGCGGTACAGCTTCAACTGTCTCTTTGAAGATAATTAATTCACTCAAAAAAAAATGAAGGAAGAGTAATTTCATAGAAATACAACTGGGTAAATATGGTAGCAAGGTGATCATGGCACATAAATCGCAATTTGAACTAAAACGTGATGAACATTTACGTAAGTTCACTCTATAAATATTTACTTAGCACCATAACTACGAAATAATTGCAAGATTGTATAGATTTAGTTGCCTCCGGCACGAATTACATTTCGTAGAAGCTTTGGGAACGCTTGGACGGCTGCAGGCAGCTTGTAAGCTTTTCATGGGCGATTGGTTGATCTGCTTAATGTAGATAACAACTTGGATTCGGTAGAAAACAACCTAAGAATACACCTATGCTTTCCATTTTCAGTTATTAAGCTGACGAGGATGACCAGATTTTTCTAACCGTGTTTCTTGTTTCTTTTCTTTTTGTTTCTGAACTATTTTACTCATTGGACCTGGAGCTGTAATTGGGCCGGAAACAACACATCAAACACTCTTGCAGTTATTTCGTTGTAAAGTAAATGTTTACAGTTACATTGCGTTTCAGATCGAATTGCGCTTTCTGCGCCACAATTTCCTTGTTATCACATTTATGGCGCGCCCTGCATAGACAGGCAGCCATGTGCAAGTTCATACATGTTGAGTTGGAAGTGACCTAACTCGATACTAAACGGAATTGTGGCATTTTTTCATGTTAGCGCAAACAGGGCTGGAGGAAGGGCATACATCTTAATTTCGTTGGAAGCTTAATTTTGCAGCAGTTCGCAGTTCACAAGACCTAACGGTATTAATACTTTTGTGGTAGGACCGCAACAAGTAATAATCGGTACAAAAAGCCTGAATGTTAGCTATTGAAGTGGTATCATCCATTCGTCTCTTTTCGAAGTTGAATCCATTCTCAAAGAATTTCTCATTTGCTCTGTATTCACGAAGAGCTAACCTCGTCTCTCCACACTTGTCTGGCATCTTCTTTTTGTTCATGAATACGTTGATAGAAAATACTACTAATAGTGAATGTCGTCTATTTAAGGTCTTCAAGCAAAAACAAATGGACTTGATGGCACATTTCGAGCGCGCTCAACAGGCGCTAAATGTGCAACATCTCCAGCAATATTACCAAGCATTGCAACAACAAGCGCAACAACAGGCGCAACAACAAGCTGCCGCAGTCGCTGCCAGTAGCGCCCAGACGGCTCCCGAGCGGATGGATGAAGGGCTTTGTGATGCGACTAGTGAGTCCCTGTTCTCAGTAGGAAGTATTGCGGCACTTTATTCTATAGGAAAACAGATCTTTCTTGCATTCATTCATTTGTATTCTTAACTGGTACAGCTCTACGTCTGCATTAGTGTTCTGTTGGGAAGTTGTAATGTGAGAAGTGTTTGAAAACTGTTCTATTTAAGTAGCGCCGCTTGTGCTGACTTCATCTGTTGGAAGTCTGTTGGGTTCCAGTCAGTCACCAACAACATCCCGCGATGCACCTGCTTCACAGCGTATTCGAAGGTATTCGAATTGCTTTGAATTGTACGGTTCCGTTTTGCTGTCATTGCGGTCTTCTAACTTTCTCCTTCATTTGTTTCAATAATCGTTGTTTTCGTCAAACGAAAACCGTTGCAGCGAACACCGTAATGCGTCCACGAATTCATCATCGACGACCATTTCGCAGCATACGAAGGACCGATTGAAGAATATGATTGCACAGCGAAATCGTGAGGGAAGTCAGACGAACCTTGCCGGTACGCCTCCTCAACAGCATGCTCCGATGAGTCCTCAGGTAACATTGAGTCGATTGAACTAATGAAACTTGGCTTATTCCTCGCCGTCACATCCGTTTTTGGCAAAAGACGAATTATTTAATGAGCCTTTTTCGGTGCTAACTTAGTCGGGGGGGGGGGGGACCACGCGACGGCGCGGCACTCTGTTCGTCTGCTCGTCCGAGGACTTAGTCCCACTGGCAATTACTATTTCGCCATCCACGTGACAGTTTCGATATACGCGCCATCGAGGACTAAGCCCTGAAGGAGCAAACGAACAGCGTCGCGCCTCCGCGTGGTCTCCCCAACTAAGTTAGCACCCCTTTTTTAGGTGTAACAGTGTTCGGGTGATTCCCTTACGGCAAAGGTCTGCAAATTTCACATTTGCAGCACTTATTACTGTTGTACTTAAAGGTAGATGGTACGATGAATTGAACATCTCTAAAGGTACAAGAAAGCGACTAAGAGGAGCAGCAGTGAAGAAGAAACGAGGAGACGGATTAGAACCCATAAGACGGGCTCTCGTTTTCCCCGTTGATTTTCGCGTGAGGGCGAGTCTGATCCGTGCAGATATCGTACATGACCGCTCAGCTTTGCATTTTTGCTAAAACGGCCCGATTCCCACGGCGAGGGTCCACTGGTTTAAGTGCCAATCGGCAGACGCCTACAGCCACATTGGGAATTCACCGCCACATTAGGCCGCTACGAGCACATTCTTACCAACAAAACGCTCTTCAAACCGCTCCTTCAGTGGATCCCTCGCTTTGTGGGATATCCAAATATTTCGCCTTCTTCGGCCTCTAATTCATCTCTGCACCTTCCTGCTCCTTCCCCTGAGGAAAAAGGGAATATTACTTATGAGCTTCTCATTATGGGAGGATACCAGAAAGGATGATCAGTTGTAGACGTGCAATCTTTGGGAACATAATATGCGAACATAACTATCCTCGTCAGGTTTATTCTCAAATGCGACATCCTTTTTTCCAGATAAATGTGTCATCACCTCACTTTGAGCCGTATCGAGTACCAGCGTCATTACATAGCGTCCAGGCAGTTAGCTGTCAGCCATCTGGAGAATACCAACTGCGAAAAGTGAACAGCGAACCGAACCTAAAAATGCGGATCCGAGCAAAACTCCTCAGCAAGGGCTCAAGCCCTGTCCAAAACCAGAACAGTTTCAGTTTTACACATCCTCAACTGAAACGGTAAGTACATTGCTGATCGTCTCGTGCATATGTATAATTTCAATTCAATTGATTACATGGGTCATTTCTATTGGGTCTGTTTCCAGAAGCGACAGCGAAACGTCCGGTAACGGTGGTTCAACCGGTGGCGGGACTTTGGCTATGGACGCTCTGTTGTCGAATGCTGCTGCCAGCGCATTTCCACCTCATCTGATCATGCCCTCTCCGAGCTTGCCAAATCTTGCCGCCCCAACTCTTGCGCAGCCTCCTCAACTGCCTATTGGTGAGCATTCCGGACTTTGGATCCATATGTGTACAACACCTGCTGTTTGCATACCACAGTTCTTCTTAGATATGGCTTCGTTGATGGCAGCGGCTCAGTTGACGCCATTCCTTAGTCTGCCAAGCCTGTTGAAAACCCAGCTGGGTCTCGGTGGTGGTCTGTTAGAGGAAGACATATCGGATCGAAGTAGACTCGCCCCAGGCGTTGCTGCACTTGGTGCACTTTCGCAGCAGGTGCCTGTTGGTGGATATCCCTCGCTGCTCAAACAACAACTCAGGGAACTAGTGCTTCGGAGGAAGAGTCTTGTGCGGTTCGTATGACTGTTGTTATAACTTAAATATACAAAAGCCATGCATCTCCTGTGGTATTTCAGCGAGGAACCCGAAGATGACGATCCGCTAAGCACGCAATCAGTACTCGGCCAAATGCCAACGTCTCTTGGATTAGGCGAGCTTCCGAGCGGCAGGGCGACCGGCCTCGCTTATGACTCCAGCATGGCCCGACATGAATGCGTTTGTGGTGAAAGCAGTTCGCATGTGGAACATGGTGGACGTGTGCAGAGCATCTGGGCCCGACTGCTTGAGCGAGGACTTGTGCAGAGGTGAGCTCTTTCTCGTGGGAACCACAACCGTTTCGTTTTTGTTCGGCAATTTGTGATTAGCGATTCCGATTTGGTTCTTTCGTGAGAACGTAAGAGGGCAACGGACTTCCTGTCAACTCCACCGATTATTTATTACCAGTGATGAAGGTACTTTCAAAACACGTGGTGGAGCGAATTAGAAACGATTTCCACTTCTGCAAAAGCCTGCTGAGGTTTCAATTTCTAGAACAGACAGGATAAATTCAGATTCCATTCGTTTGAGTAAACGAATACAAGAATAAATTTGAGCTTTATTTCTTCAAACAGCGGTGGAATATTCAAGTTTCATCCACTTCACCTGATTGAATATTTGTGGAAAAGGTTCATCCTGGTGGAAGTGTGCTATATGAAATAGCTGAGTAATTGATTTGGTGCGATCGGAAACTAGATAATTTTTTTAAATAATAAGTGAACGCTACAAGGTAAATATTGGGCAGCCAGGTATAAGTAACGCATTAAACACAGAAATTGATAAGGTCCTTGAAAGGCATAACCAGGATGAGTTTAGAGTGTTTTTCTTTCTTTTGGAGAGCAAGACAGAGCCGACCACACAGGTTGCAGATGTCCTCTTTTTTTATAGGGCTATTGTGCGCACAGTGACGGCAGTTCCTTGCAAGTATCGCTTCAACCGCCTTTATGTCTCTTCGTATGTGGCTCTCATCTGTTCTGCTTCTTCGCCTATCCTCTCTCCTCCTTACTCAGTTTCTCATGGCACTAGCACGAGAGTCAGCAAGCTGTTAACTGGATTCTTTTGGCAAATTCTCTCCTTTTTTCCATACTGCAGGCTCACTTCGAACGAAGGCTTCGATTGTTGTGTGCAAGAACCGCGCCATTTTGTCATGGGGCGTGCTTCTAAATTTTTTCAGAAAACGCTCGCAATCTTTTCACAAAGGCAATTTAAGACAAGCGTTCACGAAGAATCGACGTCTAAAGTCTCTTTAGCTCTGTTGCCGAAATGAACAAGAGGGTAAACCCGCCCTTCAATCAAACCGAGGATCCCTTGTCTGTGAGTTTAGACTATCACGCACCGCTGCGCTCTTTTGCTCTATAACCCCGTTCAGAGAATCGTTTTGAAAGAGGAGCTCAGTGCAATGTCAGATCTGCACATTATGTTCACATCGTAGTTTGTGCACGGATCGATCCCTATAACTTTTGTACCTGTATCGTTAGGTTTTAGATAACAGTGTCGAATTTCAGTTGTGTTTCTCATGAATAATGAATAATATTCGCTCATAGCTTTACACTCTCTACAGCAGGTCACACATTTGTCGGCCGGACATTCTAACTTCACACCAGGGTGACACTGTGGATTGAGTTCGAGCTAGAAATTGTCCACTAAAAGCATCGTATTGCACAAGTGCACTATCGCAATTTATGGTTTCCTCTTCTGGAGTGCACGGCGTGGCTTCGAACTTTTATATCACGTCTAGTTGACCTTAGTTCTCTTATACCTGTAGAAGAACCAGAAGTGTGACTGGTTCGCATTTCCGCGGTGTGAAATGAAACCGAAGCATAAGACGTTCCACCTTCTTGAAACGCAAGAATTTCGGTCAGTATCTAACGATTTTCATTTCGGAAAAATCGATCAACACCCCCAATTGGTTCCTTGAGTGAAACTCCAGTTCGGGGGGGGGTCCCCCATTGCTGTCTTATCCGTAGTACTAGAGAGCAGTTCTTTGGGCTTTCTAACACTACGGATAAGATAATGAGTGAACGACTCATTTCGAGCGTACTTTTGATAAGGACCGGTGGATGTCCTACATTCCACACTACCTGCCCATCCACTTTTCTGCACAGATGATCCACCCTGGAGCTCCTGCATCCTTTAGCCCATTGCGGAGGTGTCCTTTCTCCTGGTCCAGGACCGTTCCCTCGGGTCATGGCGGGCGGAAACGTGAAACGTTTCAGGGTTATTCACCCATTACACCAATATTTATCAGAAGTCTACTTCAATTGAGTCGATTGCGTATCGACAGCCCTCTGATCCTTATCTTGAGTATGTTAACATACTCAAGATAAGGATTAGAGGCCTCACGACACGTAATCGACTCATTTAAAGTAGACTTCTGATAAATATTGTGTAATGGGTGAATATCCCTGAAACGTTTCACGTTTCCGCCCGCCATGACCCGAGGAACGTCCTGGACCAGGAGAAAGGACACCTCCGCAAAGGCTAAAGGATGCAGGAGTCCAGGGTGGATCATCTGTGCAGAAAAGTGGATGGCAGGTAGTGTGGAATGTAGGACATCACCGGTCCTTATCAAAAGTACGCTCGAAATGAGTCGTTCACTCATTAATCTTATCGCGTAGTGTTAGAAAAGCCCAAAGAACTGCTCTCTAGTACAACGGATAAGACAGCAATGGGACCCCCGAACTGGAGTCCACTCAAGGAACAATTGGGGGTGTTGATCGATTTTTCCGAAATGAAAATCGGTTAGATACTGACCGAATTTTGCGTTTCAAGAAGGTGGAACGTCTTATGCTTCGTTTCATTCACACCGCGGAATGCGACCAGTCACACTTTGGTTCTTCTACAGTATACAGGAACTAAGGTAACTACGTGATATAAAGTTCGAAGCCACGCCGTGCACTCCAGAAGAGGAAACCATAAATTGCGGATAGTGCCACTTGGGCAATACGATGCTTTTAGTGGACAATTTTCTAGCTCGAACTCAATCCACAGTGTCACCCTGGTGTGAAAGTAGCAATTCCGGCCGACAAATTGTTGACCGCGCTGTAGAGAGTGTAAGCTATGAGCGAATATTATTCATTATTCATGAGAAACACACTGCAATTCGACACTGTTATCTAAAACCTAACGATACAGGTACAAAAAGTTATAGGGATCGATCGTGCACAAACTACGATGTGAACATAATGTGCAGATCTGACATTGCCACTGAGCTCCTCTTTCAAAACGATTCTCTGAACGGGGTTATAGAGCAAAAGAGCGCAGCGGTGCGTGATAGCTAAACTCACGACAAGGATCCCGTTTGATTGAAGGCGGGTTTAACCCTCTTGTTCATTTCGGCAACAGAGCTAAGCGAAA